TTATCTTGTTATTTATTTTATTGAGAGCTCCAAATTATAGAAAATTCAAACTGGAAGGAAAAATGACATCCACGGCTAGAAATTATAGCCAGCACGATTTTGATTGATCTCAACTCTTTTTTCGTTGTTGTTTGTGGAAAAATAATTGACATTTATTTCTCCTTTTATGTTTCAGTATGCAGAATGATTAAATTAAAAAAAAAAAAGATATTTCACTATTAGATATTTATATGACAAGGACATAATTCAACTTCACATATTTTACCCCTTTCCATGTTAAATATAGTAGCTATTTGTAGGGTTGTTTTAAGAATTCAATTTAGGATCTACTTTATCTTTCAAAATTAGTTTTTTAAACCATCCCTGTTATTACACTTATTAAAGGGAGGTTTGTACCAATAAGATAATTTTTCATATAAATTATGAAATAAATATTTTAGGAAAGTCAACCCATATTTTATATAAATAACTGATTTAATCAAAATTGCCAAACTTATGAGTTTAATCATCATGATTGGGATATAAATTATAAGCTCGAATCGTATAGGCGCAAAAGTTTACTTTATTAATAAATTGATATTAAAAATATATAATTAAATAATTAAAATATAAAAATGACAATAATTTCATTTAAATTTATTTTAAATTCAAATAATTAAAATTAAATTTATCAAACTTCAGAATCTACTATATTCAACAAAGAATTTCTATGAAATTCACATATAGAGTTATTAAATGTAAATAAATTTAAAAATTTAGAACAAGTTTAATTTGAAAGCGAATTGAGATTGACATGACTTTGTAAGTTAAAAACTTAAAAACAATAGACTTGGTAAGTGAACTTGTAATTCTAACTAAGTTCGCAGCTAACATGAGTTTAAAAGTGACACAATTTTATAAGTTAAAATTATAAAAATGTTAAATTCTAAGATTTTGACAACAACAAATTTAACTAATTCTATTAATTTTTATAGTCTAATTATCTAACTCTTTCTGAGAGAATAATAAGCACATAGACTTTCATTAAATCCCGCATTCTTCCACTCCACTCTTAGTAAGAGGTGATATGAACATATATCGCCCGGACCAGAGGTTAATTAATGACGAGCATTAAATCCTTGGGTTATAAAACAATTTTCCCTCTTTTTTTTTTTTTGGTCTTCTTTCGTTATGTAAAAACCATTGTTTCTAATTGTCACATGGCATAACAATTGTAGATGTAATTGTATGGCGATTTTAAATATGATATATTCCACAGATGTTAAAATTTGGTTGGGTGGCTTGCACATATATTGCAAGATTTTTATTATATTCACAATTGCAACTATTATTTACAATTTGTTAATGTCTGTGTGCAACTTCAAACAACTTGACAAAAAAAAAATAATTATTAGACGAAAACAATCGATCACGGAATTAACTAAGTTAAAGATTGTTTATATAAATGTATTATCTCTTTCAACAAGAATAGGTTTAGTGCCAACTTGGTCCAAGGACAAAGATATATACGTAATTAATGTTCATCGTCTGGAAAAAAAGTCACGAACAAGACAAATCTTGGTGTAAAAAACCTACCATGATTTCGACATCCTGAAAAAAGCTTAACACTTTATTATTAGTTAATGAAACCTTTTGATTTCACAAATCACTGATTATATCCAGCTATCATTGCCAAATCCAAGCTTAAAGAGCAATTTTTCCTACTTTATAGTCACACAAGTTAATTAATATCAGATTAGATTCAATATGATAGGAGTTTGATAATAAAAAAATACCTACATGTACTTTAAATACTGTAGTTAAGTTTTCACAGGAATTATAAATTACTTGTTACTGGTCTCACGAGAGTTTCCAAGGGTCACATACATACAACATTAAACCTGGTTTTGGATTTGTTAAAGACGTTAGGGTGACACTGGCAATACGTCTAAAGTTTATCCAATCTAATAAACAGATAATGAATCCTCAATCTTGTTTATATATAATATTGTTTGATGTCGACCAAAGTTGTTTACTTTCATTGTTGCGTGTTCCATTACTACCATTGGTATGATTCTTTCATTTATGCCCGTCAAAATTAAACTACTTCCTCCGGTTCTCGTATGGGATCATTCCTTTCATGAAATTAAGGAAGTAATTAGTTCGAATTAGTTAATAAATGCAAAAAAATTTAATATTTTTTTTAGCATAATACTACCCTTTAATTGGTGTGGCTCATTTAGTAGAATGCCGATGAATACCGCCCTTTAAGTGCAATCAGATGAAGATAGTTTTTAAGGATCAACTTGATATTCTTGAAAGGCTTGGTTATTAAATGATTGATGTAATTTTTTTTGTTAAAAAGTTATAAATTCTCTATAAAATAATTATAAATGGTTGTCTTAATTTTTTTAATTCTATAAAATTAGTTAACAGGACTTTTACATTTAAGATGAAATGAAGTATATTTCATCACAAAGTCACTCACTCACGCAAAGACAATGGTGCTATCTATTTAATATAAGAATTATTATACTAATTTCAATAGATTGAAGAATTTAAATAAATTAGTTAATTATAATAAATATGGTATAATTTTTCTAAAATATATATGTACGATATCAAATTATATATCAATTTATAAGTTAGGTAAATTAATTTTAGTAAAAATAATGAATATGAGAGATGAAAATGATTAAAATTTTATATTTAGGGGATGTCTAGATGGAAATTAAACCATAATTTTAGAAATAATTTTACAGTTTGTAAAGTAAATGTTTAGAGAAATTTATCTTGATTTGTGAAAAAATATTTTTAAAAAAATATTTTTAAGAATATCCAAACACCCTTTATAACAAAATTCAACCCTTTAGCTAGCTTGTATATTAATAATGAGAGGGAGTAATTGGATTGCCACGTAATACTATATATATGTTGTGTGTGAATGTGTTTTTGATTCGACAATTCTCCACACTCAGATATAAAATTTACAACATTTACGATAATGTACGTGTTGACATGGTTGATGAGTAAGCTTGGCTTCCATGACAGAAACAGTATTAGTAATATAATTTGCACTTTTTCATGATATAGTGTTCCTCAGTGGCTGTTCGGTATGGATCAATGACAGAAAAAGAGTATTGTTTAGGCTTAAATGGGTTCCAGCCAGGATTCCTGTCCGTTGTCCCACGAACCGTGCCTTGCTCTTTAATTAAATTATCATGCTAACGTCGTTTTACTGAGCCATATAATAACATATATCTAATTTGTGGTAATCACTTAGACCTAACACACATGAGAGTGTAATGGGATATCAACAGTAACAGTAAAACAATGATGGAATAAAATTTAACATATAAGACCACATATCTAAATAAAATAATCTTTTTTGGAATTGGAGTTTTAAGGCTTGGAGGTGTAATAGAGAGATTAAGAAAAGGCACCTTCTCCATAAAAATGTACGGAAACAACTGGTTTAATGTTCATGCGAGTGAGCAATGAGGAGTTGATTTTAATATAAGGGACTAGTTTATCACAATATGATAAATCAATATTCAAATTTTTGCTAAGAGAAGTATTCACATTTAGTACCTGATAGTGTTTTAAATAAAATTACCTCTAATAAAAGGATACCTGCAAGCGGTTTTGCCATTCAGGAACGAAAATGCGAACTCCAAAATGTGAACATGGACGATAGCTCATGAAGGCCCACAGTTCATAAAGCCCAACAGAGACAAATTCATATAAAATAAAGGCCCACAAAATTCAACTATCGGCACATGTCATGACTCATGAGCAATGTTTTAAAAGCCGGACCGGAAGTCAAACCGGAAAGATCAACGGGTCATGGTTCAATCGGTCGGACCGTTCGGTCAGACCGGTGACGCAATAATTAATTTAAAAAATATTATATACATATAATTAGTATATATGAAAAATATCAAATTATTAAATAATTTAGAAATGCATTTAAATAATCTAAAATTATAATAAAATCATTGAAAATGGACTAAAACCTTATATATTTAATTTTATGTATGTTTAAAATATTTAATGATATTACAAATTATCAATTCATTCAAATCAAAATATTTTTTTAAAAGATAGATCAAATATCGAAACAAAAAGACTAGCGACTCACGATTTTAACATCACAATATATGAAATTTTCAATGAAATAATACTATATGGTTATAACTAGTCTAAAAATATATTAGGATATTTAAGGGGATCAATTTTTTATTTTTCCTCTATTTTTTTAAAATTTTTTAGTATTTTTCAGTCAGGCTAAAAAACCGTCCGGTTTTCTGAAAACCGTTCCGGTTCCCGGTCCAACTCCGGTTTCCGGCTTAATAACGGCTCAACTCCGGTCCAATCCGGCTCAACTATGCGAACGGTTTTTTGGTCCAAACCGAGCCGTTAACGAGTCCGGGTGACGGTTCAACCGGTCCGACCGTCCGGTCCGGTCCGGTTCTTTAATCATTGCTCATGAGTGTCCTCACGTTTTCACGGAAGAAACTAAAAATAATCCGCCATTGGACATTAACAAAAATTGTCCGATGTTTTGGGTGGCCCGAGTCCCACAATAATTTATAAATACCAATAGCTCATAGTTCAATAAATATTCGCTCGTAAAAAAGGTTGTGGATTTTACAGCTCCAACGGTCAAGATAGGGGTGAGTGTGTAATCTCCTTTCCCCACGGAGAGAGGGAGGGAGGTGGGTTAAATTACCGAAATTAAAAAAAGAATTTATATGTAAAATGAATTTTTTTATAAATACGATATGGTAATATTGATGTGTGAAAACATGGGTGGGAATGGGGAAGTGGGATGGGACACCAATAGGATGCTGCCGCCAAGAAGAAGTTGGATGCTTGGATTACACATAAGCAGGAAGTAACCAGATTGCCATTTTCCAGTTTTACAAGCGGAATAGGAGATGTAGATGATGTGAGTCGGGTCCTTTCACTCCCGTGGTAATAGTCATTTGACGCTCTAAAAATATCTAACAACCATCGCCTTCTATCATCATTCTACCCGCTGCTCATCGCTGATGGCCAATTCTTTCCTTTGAACTTTTCGAGAGTCTTTCTTCTTCCTGAATGATTATATCGTTTACTCTTCAATGTCTTCCCCAGTCATCTCTCTCTTTTTCATCCAAATCCTTCTCGTTCTTTGCTCAGCTTCAGCTACTGAATTCATCTACAACACCAACTTCAGCTCTACCAACATCCTTCTCTCCGGCAATGCTTCCATTGATTCTTCCATTCTCACCCTCACCGATCGTCCATCCTTCTCTGTAGGTCGAGCTTTTTACCCTTTTAAAATACCCACAAAACCTTATATTTCTTCTTCTCCTTTACCATTCTCAACCTCCTTCATCTTCTCTATTGCTCCTTTTAAACATGCCCTTGCTGGACATGGATTCGTCTTCATTCTCTCTCCTTTCACGGGCACAACGGGAGTTAGCTCTGCCCAGCATTTGGGTCTCTTCAATTTCACCAATGACGGTAATCCCGACAACCATGTTTTTGGCGTTGAATTTGATGTGTTTAAGAACCAAGAGTTTAATGATATCAATGATAATCATGTGGGTGTGGATATAAATTCGCTCACTTCTTTTAGTTCGCATGCTGCGGGTTCTTGGGTTGGGAAAGATGATAGGGTGTTTGAGGATTTGAAACTTAATGATGGGGATAATTATCAAGTGTGGATTGATTATGAGGATTCTAGAATAAATGTAACTATGGCTCGTGTAGGACGAAAGAGGCCTCGGAGACCTTTGATCAGTGAGATTGTTAATCTTTCCTCGGTTCTTTTGGATGAAATGCATGTGGGATTTTGTGGGGCAACAGGGCAATTGGTGGAGAGTCATAAAATTTTGAGTTGGAGCTTTAGTAATACCAATTTTTCAATTGGGGATGCTTTAGTGACTTCAAATTTGCCTTCATTTTTACTTCCTAAAAGATCAGTTACAAGGTCAAAAAGTTTTATTATTGGAGTCAGTATCGGCGTCTTCTTTCTCACTGGCAGTGCCAGTGTAATATTGGTACATTTTCTTAGAAGGAAAACTAGCAACAGAGATGAGGAAGACACTGAGGATTGGGAATTAGAGTATTGGCCACACCAAATACGCTATGACGATATTTATGCTGCCACTAATGGATTTTCAGACCAAAATGTGATTGGGTTCGGAGGGAATGGAAAAGTTTATAGAGGGGTTTTACAAAATGTAGAAGTTGCAGTGAAAAAAATCCCTTATGAGAGTGAGAAAGGCATGAGGGAATTTTTGTCTGAAATCTCAAGTTTAGGAAGATTGAAGCACAGGAATGTGGTGCCATTGAGAGGTTGGTGTAAGAAAGAGAGAGGAAGTTTGATTCTAGTCTATGACTATATGAGCAACGGAAGTTTAGACAAAAGGATATTTGATGCTGGTGAGAACAAAATTTTGACATGGGACGAAAGAATCAAGGTGTTGAAGGACGTAGCTCGTGGATTATTGTATCTGCATGAAGGCTGGGAAGTTTGCGTCTTGCATAGAGACATCAAAGCAAGCAATGTATTGCTCGATAAGGATATGAATGCGAGGTTGGGTGATTTCGGATTAGCTCGACTTTGCCATCATGGGCAGCTGACTAATACCACACAAGTGATTGGAACAGTTGGATACATGGCACCTGAACTAGTTCAAAGAGGGAAAGCCTCAGCTCATACTGATGTATTCAGTTTTGGTGTGTTGATTTTAGAAGTGTTATGTGGGAGAAGACCAAGTGAACAAGACAAGCGAGGTTTGGTTGCTTGGGTTTTGAGTCTAATGGAGAGAGGAGAATTATATGATGCTCTTGATGAACATTTAAAGTGGACGAGAGATCATGACAGTGATGAAGCTGAGAGGGTTCTTCATCTTGGTTTGCTGTGCACACTGCCTGAGCCTGGTGCTAGGCCTACTATGAGACAGGTTATGAAGGTGTTGGAAGAAGAGAGGATGGATCTGAGCTTGATTGAAAAATTAAATTCTGCTCTCATTTCTGCAGTAAAAGCTGGAAGTTTCAGTTACGGCATTCATCACCCTACAGTTGAGGAGATTTCCCGGCCTAATTTATCTTTCACAGGTCAGGATGGTCGATGAGATTTTCCAATTTAACTCTTTTAAGTTATCAGATGTGTCATTTTTTGTTTTTGTCAGAGTTCTGTGATTTGGAAAGTGAGAATTATGGAGTGGGAAAAAGGTGAAAGGGCTGATGTTGAATCCAAACGCCTCAAATCATGTAAAGCCTAAACAAGCGTTTTGAAGTCATGTAGACTATTGAAGCGAATTGGATTCATGTCTTTATTTAATCACAAACAGTAACATTTTCACCTCCAAGTTGGTCATATATGTTGCTTGGAATAGACTGTATACCCTATTACATCGAACACTACAATCCTTATTACCAACAAGCTCAAATATGATAGTTGAATCAGGGTACTAAAGGGGGAGAAATTAAATATAAAAAGTAGGTTCATATATTTCTCTTGTGTTTGCTTTTGTGTTCTTTCCCCCCATTATTTTCTTTTTTATGTTGTGCTTGTGTGAAATTGCTAATATAGAGGACATTACTGCAATCAACTAGGGATGTCCGCATTGTCTGCTTAGTGCTTAGTTTGTTTTTGGTTTTCTTATGCAATCCTCATAGTTTCGTGTTCGCTGCCAAACATTCTAACGTGCAGTTTGAAATTCTGCTCTTGCCCAATATTTTAGCCATCAAACTCAAATGGGCTATCGCCTTTGACAATTTTGTGTTAAAGTTCAATACTGCAAGTTTTTGAAAACCAAACACAGTATAATTTTTTTTTCCAAATAACTGATGATTATGTTGTTGACTTTTTTAAAAGTATTTTTATACTTTATAATCATTATCGTGAGTACAAAGAGGGGTAAAAAAAAGATTTAACGTTTTCATAGTGCAGTAGATTCTATAATGAAAGTGATTTCAAAAGAGAGGAGATCAGTCACATTAAAATTACCTTTTGTAAAGGTCTGCTTAGTATCCAAAAACTGCTCAAGGGGAGGGGAATGCAGAGTAAATGTCCTTTTTTTAAGACTTTGATTTTTGGTACTCGAAAGAAATATAAAAGAGTTTGATAATAAATCCCAGAAAACTTTCAGTTCAAGGTTAGTGGTAGTGGTTGAAATTAAAGGTCTTGTCACGGAATTTTCATACAGGAGATTGTTCTGATTATATACGATTTACTGTACTTTCTTATTTCTTATTTTCATTTTTTAAGGGTTGGATTCTTGCAACCAAACATGCTCTATAACTTTTTTTTTTATAAAAAATTTATGCTATTTAAATACAATCATGCACATAAACATGTTAATTTTAGATTCAAGTTGCAGACCTTATTCAAGCTGGCATAAGGAGTGACTTTGCCATTAAAACAACCTTATTTTTCTTTTTATTTCTAACAACCATTAGCATAACTTGCTACTGACTTTATTACCTTATTCAGTGACTAGGTTGTCAAGAGATTAATAACATATCACTATTTTTTTTAATTATAAGTTATTTCTACTCCAACCTCGTAAATCAAGAAATACATTAATTTGATATTTTTTTCACATTTACTCTTATTAAATAAAAGCATAAAAAATGCGTTTTATGTTTTTTTTCACTGGGTAATTAATTTTTTTATTAAGTCAACAGAAATAAAATTAAAAAGAAGATTGTTAATTTGACTTATTTTAAAAAACAAATTTTTTGGGTACAAATCACCCATAATAACCAAAAGTGTGGCAGTGGAATTGACGGAACACTAGATTGCCGCTTACTTGGGTTGACTTGTCCCTCCTTCTTTTTTCTTTCACCGGCCCAATAGCCTCGCGCGATACCCCCATGTGCACGCTAAAGCGGGCTTTTAATGATGTCCGCACTTTTTTTTTTTTCAAAAAAAGTATTATAAATATTTTAAAAATTAGTTAAGATAATTATTTATAAAAAATTATTATCTTTTTAAAAATAATCTTATTATTATCAGGACTAATTTAATTTTAAAAAAATAAATATAAAAAATAAAATGGATTAAAATTTTATATTCAATATTAAATTAAATTTTTAATTAATTCTAAAATTTAGAATACTTAGTAACATATCTCAATTTTTACGCAAGAAGAATTGTTTTAAATAATTATCAAATAAACTTACAAGTCCAGGTAAAAGCCTGTCCTTATCAATCCTTAAAAGCCTGTCCTTATCAATCCTTAGTTCACTCATGCAATACAACAAAAAGGGCAGTATCAGTCTCACCCGAAAGGGGGGGGATGAATACCTGCCACACACGCCTCCTTTGGTGGGATCTTCCTGCCCGTTTATCTAATTAATTAAATTTAAGTTTTTCAGAAAAAATCGTTATAGTAGTACTATGAATTTTAGATACCAATCTAAACCGGTGCAAATATGAAAAATCTTATTTACAAATTTCTACCTCCAGTTATTAATATGAGAGTTAGAAATACTCCTTTCTATCTTTATTGTCAGTTTCAAATAACTAGTTTATAGATAATGAACTGTTAGTTAAAATTAGTTAAAATCAATAAATAGATTAAAAATGCAGTTTTATTTCTAAATATGCTTTTATAATAAATGAGAAAAAAAAGAACAAGAATGTGTAGGAAAATGTGATAAGAGAGAGTATGATAAAGGGGAGAGAATAAATAATTAAAGCAAAATAAAAATATATATTAAATGTTAATACAAATCCTAAATTGGAATTTATAAAATGGAACTTGTAAATAGCACAGGAGGGAGTAACTGATCTGTGAATATTAAAAAATTAATTATTTTTAATAAATAGGTACTGTGTTTTATAAAATATAATTGTTAATTATGTGTATTAGAATAATAATAATTCTTTAATATGCGCAATCAACATGAATACTATTTTGAAATAAATAAATAAATATAAAAGACAAAATAAATTGACATATTATATTTAGTACTTTGCTTCTTATAAATAGCATAGGAGGGAGTAACTAACTTGTGAATATTAAAAAAATTAGTTATTTTTAATAAATAGATATTGTGTTTTATAAAATATCATTGTTTATTATGTGTATTAGAATAATAATAATAATTCTTTAATACGCACAATCAACAAGAAAACTATTTTAAAATAAATAAATATAAAAGATAAAATAAATTGACATATTATATTTAATACTTTGCCTCTTATATTTAATAGGGAGTTAATATTAAAAATAACTAGTGAAATTTAAATGCTACGTTACAAAACTGAGATTTACGTAGTTGCAATCAGCCTGAATTATTTGATATTTGCAACTTATTTTTTAATGTTTTTTCAAAATTTAATTGTCATTTGAAACTTACTGGTCTCCTTTATAACACATTTTAAGGAGAATGCTTAGTCCTAATCAATTCAGGCCACCTCGCATTACTTGCAGCTGTATAAAGTGTCATTTTTCCTAATCACGAGGCCAACCACGTTGAAAAACAGCAGAGTTTTTAATTGCACCGAAGCCTTAAATATTTCCAACCACTCCTGAAAATCATTTCAATCTTCAACCATTAAAAGAAAAAGTTAGAACCCAAGATGCGTCGGTTCAGTTCAGTGCAGAGGCTATACTCCCACGAAACATACCCAAAGCCAAAAGCCTCCATTGAAATTGACTTGAATGTTCACTGAGTCATCATCTTCCTTCCCTTCTCTCCAAGTTCTTGCTTTTCATGGAAAAGCATTTCAAAATGACCTCACTTGCTCTTCTCTCTCTTATCACCCTTCTTCACTCGAAAACTACATGGAGCTCTGTGTCTGCAACTGAATTTGTCTACAACACAGACTTCAAATCTTCTAACATTTTCCTATGTGGAAACTCTTCTATTCAGTCATCTATTCTGGTTCTTAGTAATCGTAGTTTCTTCTCCATAAGCCGAGCTTTTTACCCTTACAAAATACCCACTAAAGCAGCTAACTCTTCTACTCCTCTTCCCTTTGCAACTTCCTTCATTTTCTCTATTGCTCCCATTAAACATTTTCTCACTGGTCATGGCTTTGCTTTCATATTCTCACCTACTAGGGGCTTAAACGGCACGACCTCATCTCAGTACATTGGCTTTTTGAACTTCACTAATGAAGGTAATCCTCAAAACCATGCTTTTGGAGTTGAGTTTGATGTCAGGAAAAATGTAGAATTCAATGACATAAACGACAATCATGTTGGCATAGACATAAACTCTCTTACTTCCTTTACTTCACATGATGCGGGTTACTGGGGTGGGGAAAATGATAAGGAATTCAAGAGGTTGAAGTTAAACAATGGAGTAAATTACCAGGTCTGGATTGAGTTTGTAGATTCACAGTTTAATGTCACAATGGCTCAAGCAGGAAGAAAAAGACCCAAAAAACCTCTGATTAGCAAAAAAATCAATCTTTCAGAGGTTTTTCTAGATCAAATGTATGTTGGGTTTTGTGCATCGACGGGTCTACTGATGGATACTACAAGAATCATGGGTTGGAGTTATAGTAATTCAAATTTTTCAATAGGTGATGCCTTGATCACAACCGATCTGCCTTCATTTGTGCATCAGAAAGGGTTTTTTTCTGGATCAAGAGCTCCTTTCATAGGCTTAGTTGTTGTCTGCATGATACTCATAGGCTGTGTGTCTCTGGGATGCTTCATTTTATGGAGAGGGATTGGCAAATCAGAGGAGGAAGATTTAGAAGAATGGGAGTTAGAGTATTGGCCCCATAGGATTACTTACCAAGAGATTATTGCAGCAACAAGTGGGTTCTCAGAAGAGAAGGTGATAGGAATAGGAGGGAATGGAAAAGTATATAAAGGGGTCTTGCAGGGAGTAGAAGTTGCAGTCAAGAGAATCTCTCATGAAACAGAATCAGGAATAAGAGAGTTCTTGGCTGAAATTTCAAGCTTGGGAAGACTGAAACACAGAAATCTGGTGAACTTCAGAGGTTGGTGCAAAAGAGAAAAGGGAAGTTTCATAATAGTCTATGACTACATGGAGAATGGTAGTTTAGATAAATGGATCTTTGAAAGTGAGGAAGGTAGAAAGTTGCTGACTTGGGAAGAGAGGATTCAAGTTCTAAAGAATGTAGCTTCTGGGATTCTATACCTGCATGAGGGTTGGGAAGTTAAGGTCTTGCATAGAGACATCAAATCCAGCAATGTTCTACTTGACAAAGATATGAATGCAAGACTGGGAGATTTCGGATTGGCTCGCATGCATGATCATCATGGGAAGATAGCAACCACAACAAAAGTGATTGGAACTATAGGGTACATAGCCCCAGAAGTGGTCAAGTCAGGAAGAGCATCAACACAAACTGATGTTTTTGGTTTTGGAATATTAGTCTTAGAGGTGGTTTGTGGCAGAAGACCAATTGAAGAAGGTAAGCCGGGGTTGCCTGAGTGGTTAATGTCCCTAATGGAGATTGATGAGTTACACTGTGCTCTTGATGAGAGGTTAAAGTCCAAAGGAGGATGTGAC